TTTGAGTGGTTACGAAATTAACTATAAAGTTTCAATTTACCCAAAAAGAAATAAAATTAGAACATCTAAATCCCCCCCCCCCCCCCCCCGGATTTAAACCCGCAACCTTCAAATTGAGAAGGTTGTGGGTTCACACTTTTAGTGGTTACGAAATTAACTATAAAGTTTCAATTGACCCAAAAAGAAATACAATTTTAATATCTTAAATTCCCTTCCCGGATTTGAACCCGCAACCTTCAGATTTAGAGTCAGCAGTCTGAACCACTGCACTAAGCATAATTTGATGCTTTTTTAGTGGTTAAGAAATTAACTATAAAGTTTCAATTTACCCCCCCCCCCTAAAAAAAATTTAAAATGTAAAATTCCCACCCTGGATTTGAACCCGCAACCTCCAGATTTAGAGTCAGCAGTCCGTACCATTGTTCTAAGCATAATTTCACACTTTTCAGTGGTTACAAATCAATAATAAAGTTTAAATTTACTCGGGGTAAATTGAAACAGCATGTGTAGCTGTAAAAAAAATGTAACAATGCCTGCCTCGCAAAGTTGCCATGTGGGTCATGGGAACTTTCCGTGTCGTGGTTGTATCTCTGCTTGTGAGGTGGTTTCAGTGTGTCCACCGTCAACTTGATTTTCTTAAAACCTGAAAAACTGCAAGAAGTTCATGGCCCGTCGTTAGTATTTAGCAGGGAAAGAATCGTATACCAAGGAGGTTGCGATCATGGCGATGTGCATTCACAAAGCGCGGGGTTTGCAATCGCACCGATCCCATCCTGTTGCATAAACCGCAGATCTAAGATTTCACATAATCCTATTTAAACATTTGGATTTTGAGCATGTCAAGGAAGTGAAACATTTTGGATGTTGAGCATGTTAAGGAAGTGACAATTAAGCTAGTGGTTGCTCACGTACATCACATTATGTGCATTTCCCCCCCCCCCCACCATGTTGAAGCACTTGAAAGTGTTCAACATATTTAATTGGCCTGATTGAAGATCAATCTGATAATTGATTCAATTATTATGTACAAAAACAGGGCTGATGGCTTTCAGGGACTTCATTCAATCCTTGCAACATGATCTCTCTGTAATTTTAGTTTCTATGTATTGGAGTAGTGATGTGAAGTAGTTTTCTATGTGAGGAAATAATGCTTTATTTTTAATCAGGGCCCAAAGAAATATTAATTGATTGTGTTTTCATATAAATTCTCCACTGTTGGGAAAACAGCTAGTTGACTAAGAACACGATTCCTTGGTTTGAATTTTTCCTCACACACATGGAAAGATTATGACAAGTTAAATTTATTGAGGAGAAAAAAATCATTTTGTCAATTGAGGGAAAACCTGATTTTGTTTAAAGACATTAATCTTTTTATGGCACTCCCATATATAATCCAAAATAGAACCATTGTCTGATTTATTATTGCATAGTTCAGAGGCAGCATACATGTCTATTATTTTTTAATTCCAAAGTTTGAAGAGTAAGTCAGGCAATCAACATTGATGCCAACAAAGCTATAATTCTCGGATTATTTGATTCACTTCATAGTAATTTTTACATTGACAAATAAGAGTTACAAGCCAACTCAGAACTTTTTTTTTTTTTTTTAGATGACGCCAAATAAAGGTACTCTTGTGACTGTTTTTGACAATCCACAATTCCTCGGCTACTGAGTTGCACTGCACTGAAATGGATTGTTTCTTACTGTAAATGCTCCCAGGTATCGAATGGACTGATCCAAGTCTTACTAACGTCCTTTCTCTACCAGATATGGTGCTCCAAAATATTGTGACAGAGATGACAAAAAATGCAGGGACACGTTTTTTTTTTACCCGAAAAAAAGCTCAATTTCATGAAAATATGGTTTAATTGGTGCAACGTTAATTTTACATTTTGAAGAGACCAGTATTACTTGGCTTTGGGGGTATAATTACCTCTTCAAGTTGTTTACTTTACAAATTATGGCAGTAGGTACATTTTGAGAAATACACTGGGACAAGCATTTTGAGGGAGTTTTGAGGGAGTATTGTAAAGAATGAGCATCTTGTCCATTATTTTAAAGAGTTTTAACACTGTACATAATCAGAGTCATGTTTAAGTTAATTTTATAGCTTAAAAATATCGGGGCTCAGGGCCGACATGGACACCTTGTCCACGTATCTGTCGAACTGGCGCTTGAAGCTCTCTGTGGCCAAAACCATGTCCTCCGCATTCCATCTCAACAACAGAGAGGCAAGCCGCGAGCTCAACATCATCGTCAACAACAACAGACTCCAGTTCCAGGCCACTCCGACATACCTAGGGGTCAAGCTCGATCGCACACTGACATACCGCCAACACCTGGGAAATGTGTCAGCAAAGACATCAGCCCGCGTTGCCCTCATACGACGGCTAGCTGGCACAACTTGGGGTGCATCGACTAAGACACTGCGCATCTCCACCCAAGCGCTGGTCTTCTCCGCCGCTGAGTATTGCGCCCCAGTCTGGTGTAGGAGCACCCACACCAAGAAGCTGGACATTACACTCAACAATGCCCTGCGCACGGTCTCCGGCTGCCTGCGCGCCACACTGGTCAACCAACTACCAATCCTCGCAGGCATTGCCCCACCATCTCTACGTCGAGAAGCCGCCATCCTGGCACTGTCGCATAAGGCCACCAATGACGACAACCATCTTCTCTACAAAACTGCCACAGAGATCCCACACCGCGCCCGCCTAAAGTCACGACGTCCTTTCAAGGAGCACGTCCACCAGCTTCTGTGCTCCGTACCACCTGACATTTCCAAAAGGCTATGGCTCAAACGGTGCTGGACAGAAGAGTGGCAAACAGCAGACCATTCCAGGCTGCACCGTTTCTTGGACGAGCCAGGCGAGCTGCTCGGTGAAGACCTGCCGCGCAAACAGTGGACAATGCTGAACCGCCTCAGAACCAGCGTAGGCCGCTTCGCCGCGACTATGAAAGGCTGGGGGCTCAGGGACTCCGCCGCATGCGACTGTGGCCACCCAGAGCAGTCAGTTGACCATATAATCGAGTCCTGTCCACAGCACCGGCCACCCCACGGCGAACATAACATTATCACCCTGGACGCTGACACAAAGACATGGCTTTTCTCCACCAAGTTGCAGGTGTGATGAAGAGACGATGGTAGCATATGAGAGAAGAAGCTTAAAAATCTAATTTTCATTCTATATGTTTCAATTTATAGTGCCTTAAAGTGTAGGGACATGAAAGTAGACACTTGATACTAAAGAATGACCCACAGGCCCCTTTTTGATAAGAACTTGCTTGGAGTGTACATGCAGGAAGAAATTCACGATAAACATCTCCAGGGTTTAGGGTAGAGATAAACCCACGAATGATTCTAGCCAAAGGATGATGCAATGGGCAGTTGCACTGTTTAGCTCTGTTCACTATGGGGTGTCAGTGGGTACATTGAATTAATGAAAGGAAGCTGCAACAAGAAGCAGAGGGTGAAAATTAACTTCTTAAAGTGTACATGTATCATAGATCTTTTGACGATAGCATCTTGCCAACTTCCCAATACAGAACTGTGATAACTTTGCTTGAAAAAGCTGGAGATCAGCTTAATCCTCAGAAAGAAAGACTTATTTCCTTACTCAATGTAGATTACAAGATTGTCTCTATAGCTATTTGCCTTTGCCTGGGAATAGTTATTCTTTTTGTTATTAATCCTTTCCAGACCTGCAGGATCCAAGGCAGACAATAGGCATTTGCAATTCCTGCGCCATCACAGGATTTCTTTATGGTGCCACCCAAACGAGGAAGGCTGACAAAGAAAAAGACGGCCTCGTGGCTGTTTCCAAGACTTTCAGATTAATGCACACCGAGTTTAAACTAGAAGATGTATTACTTAAACATTCCGGAAGGAACAATTTTACAAAATGAACAACCATACATCTGTACCTGGTACATTTTCCAGAATGAGCTATGGAGATTTGCACGCAATTGACAGCGTGACCGGCAGGCTACCATAGTGTGCGCACTGCGCTGAAAGTTCCCGGATTCATGACGCCCTGTTACTTCAAGTAATAAATGCACACTTGGCACTGTAAAGAGGATTTTGAAGGCTTCATTTTGATCGGTCATTCAATGCAGTTGGTTAAACTAAAGACCACGTACCAAGGACAAACAAATTTGTCTACTCATCAGTCCTTTGGCTGCCATGAAACACGGCGAACATCATTTTTTACTACGCTCCACCACTGTGTTGTTACAAAAGGCGATGGTAGACTTGTACTGACACACACGGTGTATACAGACATGCAAGTGATAAACCCAATTGCTGCGACAAAAACCGTTCCACACGCACTTCACGTTATCAATAACTGACTTAGTAAAGTTTAATACTGCTGTTCTTGTTGCGACTCGCTGTGTACAAACTGTTTGTAATGTTTGACACAGATTATAACTTTCTGGAAGCAGCCATGTTTCTGAGAATGACATATACACAGCGCCCTCTGTTGGCTAAAGGGTGTACTTTACATATTGTAACAACCTCCCCTTTTTGAGTTTGTGGGAAAATGCGCACAATTTTTTGTTTTAAAAAATAACATGTAGAACATTGAGTCCCTTTAACAGTCTAGTAGTTTCAACAGTCCATTAACAGTTCACGTGCTGAGTGTAAATTAGCAGACTTTCAAATATAGTGCTGAGATTTTTTTCAAAAGGCTTTCAAAATGCAGGCTTTCATGTCTGAATCAACAATTTGAACTAGATGGCTTAAAGAGTAATATGATTAGGCAACAACAGCTGACCTCGTAGTAACGAGAGTCGACTGTAGATTCCAAGAGTCTTAATTCCTTGATCATTTCCTTAGATCAATAGAAAAGCTTGATACAGTTAATTGGAATTTTTTTTTCAAGCTTTGGAACCTGTTTCGGCCCTGTTTTTATTTATTATATGAAAGTATTTTATACAGATATTTCAAGCAGGGCTTTAATGAATGGTTTTATGTCTGGCCCCATTCAATTTTCAAAGGTGTTAAGCAGGGGTGTCCACTTTTATTGAGAATCGAAATTTAAAGTTGTTGCTGATATTTTTAAATGTATAGAACAGTAATGTCTTTATATGCTAGTGGGAAAAGCAAATGAAAAGTACCCACGCCTATTGCATTCTACTTTAAGTTGCGTTTAATCAGAAATTAAAACCAGAGATTTATTTCATATCAATTCTTCTTTTTGAATTGTTTGAATTAAGAGTTCATAACTTAGAAATATACTAAGTTTAGTTTGCAATTGTTTTCCACCTTCCTAGTGATTCGGAGTACTGCATAAGTTGACGTACATGTATAAAGTTTGACTGATAATCTTTTTATGACTTAATAATAATTGTAAATAATGCAAGTGTAAGAAGTAGGTTTGCAAATTAAATGGTACATAATAACGTGTACATAGAACTGTACTTGTCCAATATTTGGTGTTTGTATTCTGATCGTCTTGATCTTTCCAAGCTCCACTGATGTGCTACTCTTTTAGTGGCATTCATGCAGAGTCCAAACAGATCAACCTAAAATCATCATATCATGCCTACATGTAGATGTATTGACAGGCAATTATGACAAGCTCACTGCACCCCATCTGCAAGTTATCCAGTTATTCAGGGTATCTACATGACATGGTATCATGTTCCTCATTGGTGTTTGTCAGCAAAATACATTGTAAACTTCACCAAGACCTCATGGGCTGCAACTACAATATAGTGTCCCTGCTTAAGAGGGCTACACACATAGTTCTCATGTTGCTATACAAGAAAGTAATTATTTCAAAGGATTAGGCCTATATTTTTAGGTTCTGCAAAAAAATACTGGCAGTGCAGAGCAAAAATAAGCATTCTGCACACAATACAAAATTGGTGAAAACTTATCAAAATAACACAGCATTGTTGGCATAATGGTGCAGCGTCCCCTTTTGTTTCCTGTGGGGATACATGTGTTGGCCCTGTCACGATTAATTCCAGGATAAGAATTATCTTTGCCTGCATTACAGTTGTATAGCAGGCAAAATGTGTCTAATCGGTTGAGGAATGAATTCTGGGAGGCGGTGTTACGTAAGGGTAGAAAGGGTGTGTCAAATTTGCATACGCAAGAACGTGCATAGAACGTACATAGAACGCACGAGGCGTTGGGGGGATCATTCTAGCTTGCGACTTCAGTTCAGTTAAGGAAAAACTGAGAATGGATCAGCTTTAAAAATAGCTTTGTGTAAAAGTGCCAAACGTTTTGTTTTGCTGGCAACCACAAGGTTTTCCCAGAGTTTTTGCTCATGGAGTTTTATCTCTGGTTTTTAATCCAGTGGGTTTCTTCGGGAGTTTGTTGCGGTGTTTAAACAATTAAATTACATTGAATATCTGTATAGTTATTGTTTGTACTTAAACAATTAAAGAACCAGCTCCAACTGGTTGACTGCCCCTTGGCAAGCCATACCCTAAATGGTGATATATGTCGTATATTAATTTGGTGTTGTGTTCATAGGAAAGGATGTATCATTAGAGTAGACTGGCAAGAGCAGTCTTACCCTGTCCAGATTTTGTATCAGAGGCTTTGTTGAAGCTTAGGACAGCAAAGAAAATACAAGAGGCAATGTGAAAGATATCATTAAGGGTTCAACTGCACTTCCTCGGAATCATAATATGAACCAGCCAAAAATATCTAGAAGGGTGTCTGCTAATAGCTCAATGTAATTAGCTTTCACGATGGTCAAGTGGACAAGATTTCTTTGGCCAAGAGTACACTTACAGTTTACCATGGAATCGTTCATATATTTAAGACTATTTCAGTACCTGTTAGTACCTAAATTACGCAAACGACCTTAACTATTGCAAGGGACAATATTCAACGGATAAGAAAGGAAAGGTAAAGGATTGAATGATGAAGACCTGTTTTATGATTTGGATAGTTTTTCATTGTGGGTATATGTACATGTATAGGTACACCAGTGCTTTTTCTAAGAGCTTGGTAGGAAAAAAATCACAAGCTTGCTCAGCTGGGAGTGAACCCATGACCGCCTGTTTACATTCAAATATAATTAGCTCAAATAATTAGGAAATTTGGTTTGTCCCAAGAATGTTAATATTTACAGTCACTTGACACAAAAGTTCATCCAGGAAAACAGCATCAGCTGACTAATTTTGTATCAAAGAAAATGACAGAATTTTATGCATTCCTTCCTGGTCATATTTTTAAATAAAAGTTAATTCTATCAGCACTTGTACTACATTGTGTATTTTGTAATCAATGAAAAATTAATCAATAAAACCATGGAGTGCACAGGTGGTTTCAGGCGCTACAGTTATTAGGCATGGAAGTTTTTGATACTATAGTGATTATAGTGTCCAAAACTGCCATGCCTAATCACTGTAGTGTCTAAAACTGCCATGCCTAATATTTAAGGCATGGCAGTTTTGGACACTACAGTGATTAGGCATCGCAGTTTTGGACACTACATTGATTAGGCATGGCAGTTTTGGACACTACAGTGATTAGGTATCGCAGTTTTGGACACTACATTGATTAGGCATGGCAGTTTCGGACACTACAGTGCCTATTTAAGGGTTGGGTAATAAATTCTTTAAGTAATGAAGGCTAATCCCTCTTATGGATGTACGTGTCAAGTTTATATGTACATCCATAAGAAGGATTAGCCTTCATTACTTAAAGAATTTTTATTGTAAACCCCATTCACACTTTATCAATAAAATGCTAGACTGTAGAAAATGACATTAACTTTAAAGGCCCTTGAACTCATTACTGTAATGAGTGAGGTACACGGTAAGAAAAAAATATGGCTTTACTTTGCCTTCAAATAAAGTACCGGTACATGTACATGTATAGCTTTAATAAGCAACAGATGAAAAGCATGAGTTTAATGAAGAGTAAAAACAGTCATATCATGTAACAAGAGGCTCCTAAACTGAAGTGTAGGGTCATCGACAGCTGGAGATACCCCCAGTGTCACCCTGATGTTGGGTTATTCCGAGGATTGGGCACCTATTCCTTATTTCCACATACCACACAAAAATGTTGTAGGAAATGGCATCATATTCATGGAAAGCACATTCACAGGCAACACAAACCAGATTGGCATGCTGAACGTTCATCTTCAATTTCATGAGC